GGGGCACCGCGCTTTCCGGCGCAGTCGCGGCCCCGAAGCAGCTGTCATGGCGGAAGCGGTCTGGAGCACTGACACCGGCGAGGCCGTATATCGCTCGCGGGACCCCGTGCGCAACCTGCGCCTCCGGTAGTCACACCACCCCAGCTCCGGGGCCCCCTAACTCTATGCTCTCAGACAATTCCACCCTAAGCTTTCGGGAGTTCGGAGGCCCCCCACTTCCGCTCGCCATCCCAACTACTTCCTCTGCCATCTCTGCACATCTCGCTACCGAGACCTTTTCCCACTGAAAGCTTCCAAGCACCCCTTCCAGACCTCACTCCTGCCCAAGACCCTTCAAGTTCTCGTTACTTTCAAACCCCTCGGGCCCGTGTGTCCCCAACACTCCCTCGCACTGACTTCTCCGGCAGGCGCCCCCGCCCCTCCCCACCTCCTCCCGCGCTCTCTTCCTTGCATCTCCGCCTCTGTGGTTTTGTTTTTCCCAGTCCTCGCCGTGTTTATCTCCTGGTCCTGCGTCTTTGACACGTGTATTTTGGGCTTCTCTTTTCTTGACAGAGTTCATCTGCAAAGAGTCACACCAAGCAACTTCCTTCATTACCAGCCTGCTGCTCAGATGGGAAAGGACCTCATAGACTTGGCCACTTTTAGGCCTCCTCAAGTTGCTAGTGGGTGTTTTTGGTGATGATGATGCATCCCCTTGAGAACTGAGGAAAGGGTCCGTGGCAGTTGAGGTACAGAGGAGGAACAGAAGGCTCAGAGAGGTTGAGTTTGTTGCCCCGGGTCACATGGCGGGGGCACGTGGGCGCTTTTGAACCCTCGTGATCTTTTTTACATTTTCGTTTACTTCTGTGTGTGCGCATGTCCATGCCACAGTGTAAGTGAAACTCAGGACAACCTTGGGGAGTCAGTTCAGTTATCTCCTTTCACCCCATGAGTCCTGGGGCTTGAAATCAGGTTAGCCATGGGCCCCTTTCCCCACCCCAAGTGTGACTTTTGTGTGTATGGTGTGTGTGTGTGTGTGTGTGTGTGTGTGTGTGTGTGTGTGTGTGTGGACTTCTAAGAGAAATGTGTTCCAAACTCCAAATGTGTATGTAAATACACTTAAAATAATTTTTAAAAAGGAGTTTTCAGGAAAATGTGATTTACCTTGCCTTGGAAACCAAAAGATGGGACAGGGTCCTTGCGTTGTCCAATAATCTTTCATGCTTCTGCTCTTTCTCTTTCTACTCAGAAATATTCTTAGGCAAGAAGGGTAGACTGTGGATCACAAAGTAGGCATCTTTCGAAAGACACACAGAGCCAGGACCGTATTAAATATGGTTCTTTTAAAAAAAAAATCATTTCTTTGCTTCCCTGTCCTCTCCTGGTGCTTCCTCTCCTGAGTTAGTGTTCGTGGATGATTCTGTCGGTGGTTTCGGGATTTGAAAGAAAAACACTGGGCTCCTTATCTAGCAAATGCAGACGGGCTTGAGGAAGGCTGGCCTCCAGCTCTAACTAAATTTCAGTTCCTAATACTGGATTAGATAAAGTATTTCCTGAAAGGCAGGACTGCCTTTTATTTCAAATTAGAGTACTGATTAAGCTGCCTCAGGTCCTAATCATGGCTGTTAGTATTAACCCAAGTATGTCCACCACCTCCGTTCTTTGTCCAGACTGGGTACTTAGTGAATCACCGAACTCCAGTGGGGTTTGTGGTCAGTGTGAATAGGGACTTTGAAGTCAAGCCTGGTGGTGTGCACACGTCACGTCAGCGGTTTTTCTGGCTGAGGCAGGAGGCTCTGGAATATGTGGCTAGACTGAGTGGCCGAGTGAGGCACCATCTCAAACAACAATGGATTTTTAAAACCAAAATCAAGTCAGAATAGGAACGCTGGTTATATAATCAAGCCCAGCGGGAGACGTGTTGCCGGTCTGACTCGTTCTGTTTGTTTGGAGGTGGACACCGCCCTGATGAGGAAGAGGAGGAAGAGGCTGTGATTGGGTGGCAGGAGAAGCTCTTCAGCCAGGTGAGCCAGTATTACCTGTCCTCGGTCTCCCTCCACCCGCCGGACTCCCACCTGGCTGGTGACTCATGCCGGCGAACTGATTTCCAGGAGAGGTTGTGGAGGTTTATACTTTCCCTTGTTGTGTTTATTTGGATATTGTAATATAACGGCTGCTGCCGCCGCCGCCGCCGCTGCCGCCGCCGCCGCTCAGTCTAGTGTCTGGATAAGGCGTTCCCCGTCTCTGGTCTCTGCGGCATCTCTAGCAGCAGAGTTGAATGAGAACATCAGCTTGGTTCCTTTTAACTCCAACATTCTTAGATTCCCCTGCCCTTCATTATTTAAACAAGGGATGGTTGGTTATCAAACCGTGTCAACCAGCTCCGAAGCAGTGATTTGGTCTGGTAGCTATGGGAACCAAAGTCTGAGGTCGTCCCAGCTGATCTCTTTCTTTGTGGTGACCTCAGTTTGAAGTAGATCTGTACCAAAATGAGTCTGCGTGTCAGAGTCCATTGGATCATCAGTACCGCCAAGAGATCCTGAAGCTGGAGAATTCGGGCGGCAGGAAAAACCGGAGGATCTTCACCTACACTGACTCTGATAGATACACCGACTTGGAAGAGGTATTGTTCCTTCTGAGGCATCATCGCTTCCTTCTTTGTCTCCCCTAGCTTTCTAGCCTCACTGGTACTGTGAGGGAGAGGTGTTCTAGAAACTGCTGTGAGCTGCTGGCAGCCAGGCTGGAGTGGGCGGAGTCTGCGGGTGGTGTGGCTGGTACACTCCTGGAGGGTCATGGGACTGGGGTAAGGGGTCAGAGGGAGTGTGGGGAGTAAGTCAGAATCTAGAACAATCTATTTAAAATTCAGTCAAAGCCCAGTTGCCTTGATGGTGCAAGCCTTTGATCCCAGTACTTGTGAGGCAGAGACAGGTGGATCTCAGTGAGTTCAAGGCCAGCCTGGTCTACAGAGTGAATTCTAGGACAGCCAGAACTACACAAAGAAACCCTGTCTGAAAACTCAAATAATTAAATAAATAAAATTCCACCAAAACTCAGAGTTTACAGGTGAGAAGAGGAATTTGCTTAGGCCGTGGGGAATGCCTGTGCTTTTGCGTGCACTGGTGTGCCCTTGTGGGCTTGTTTCACATTCTCTTCCATCATGATATACATCTTCTTAGGAACATCGTAAATTCCTTGGAGGTAGAACTCTATTTTCTGATTCTTGTGTTTATGATCCTTTAGGGCTCTGCCGGGAGCAGGCGTTAGTGTGAGTCTTTTGAAAGATTTGGACTGCTTTCTTCAGGAGAGCCGTGAGCCAGCAGCATATAAATTCTAGACCGTTTTGGAAAAGCAAATAAAAAATACAGTTGGTGCTAGCTTGCCCAAATGAGAACTCTCTCAAAAACCGTAGTATCCTATTTGGCATTTTTGACTGCCTAGTTAGCATCGACATTTACCAGGCACACTCACCCAACTTCTTGTTGGCATATGTTCAGAGACTGCAGGCTGATGTCATGATTAGCATAAACAACTCATTTCTGGAATCCTATGAAAACCACATACGGTAGGAGTCTTCCTCAGATCGTGCCATCCCCACCCCCCTCCCCCAGGGTAACTGTGAGGTTCCATCTGTTGGGTTTGCACCCTGGAGCAAGGGTCAGAAGGAAGGCTTCCTCTCAGGTGTTTTTAACCCATGTAGCCCTGACCACTTAACATTCACAAGACCGCTCTCTTCCCCCAGTACTGTCAGAAAATAACCTCTGCGGCCAGCGAAACGCCATCTTTTCTGGTTGAGCGGATGGCCAACGTCAGGCGGCGGCGCCAGGACAGGCGAGGGATGTGAGTGCAAGCGGGGGCCAGGGGGTCTCTGTGGTGTCTCACGCTAATGCTCCTGTAATTTCTCCTGACTAATCCTTCCCATCCAGTGACAGACCCAGTGGGGGAGGGGATCCCTTATCTCCTTCAGGCTCTTTGTGGGGTGCCAGGGAAGTGACCCTTTCCTGTGATCCCTCCCAGGGAGGGTAGCAAACTCAAGTCTCGCATCATCACCTGGGAGCCCTCAGAAGACTTCATCAGGAACAACCATGCCATTAACACACCTCTTCAGACCATGTACATTATGGCAGACCTGGGGCCCTATGGAAAGTGAGTGACACTTCACCCCGCCAGCTCTGGCCCGCCCCCTTTCCTCCTGTTACTCATCAGCAGTGTCCTGTTACAGCCATCTGGGACCTTTGGGATGGAGGGTCTCTTTCCCTTTTGTTGTTCTCAGAAGAAAGTGTGTCACCATGAAGGTTCTTACTGTGTCCTCTGTCCTGCCCCTGAAGTGGCTGACGACCTTTCTCCCCTTCCCTGGTGACCCTGAACCTTGATGATGGTTTCCTGATCCCCAGGCTTGGCTATAAGACGTATGAGCATGTCCTCTGCATTCTGAAGGTGGACAGCAATGGCGTGATCACGGTGAAGCCTGACTTCACTGGCATCAAAGGACCCTACAGGTGGGAAGGAGGAAACAGTCTGCCACGACTTCCCTGCTCGCCCTCCGGCCCCTAGTTGAGCGGATTCCAGAATCTTCTCCTAAACTTTTAGTTCCCAGGCACTGGTTCGTGCTCTGTTCTGGGTTATAGGCCTTTAGGAAACTTCCAGGAAATGTGCAGCAAAAGGAATCCCTTTAGCTGTGCAGTTAAGTGAGAAGGATTCGTGCCTTGCAGAGTCTAGGGCCTGGCTAGAACAGGGGAGGTGAGCTCAGCCAGGCCAGGTCCAGTTTCCTCGTCTGTCACTCACCCAGCCTGTCCCTTTTCAAGGTGAGAACGGAGTGCTGTATGGTTTCCCTCGTCTGTGAGGTAGAATGGGTCCAGAATCTATGGGTCTAGTCTGCCGCCTTTTCTGCTTCTCCACTATCTCCCTCTTGATCATCCTTACGGCCGTGGTCTTCATCATATTCCTCAGGGGAGCTGTATCCCGGCAGTGTTGACTCCCGGGGCTGGGTCTGGAAGGCCACGCCTCTCGCCTACAGAAATGATCCTTCTTGTGGCTTTGACCTTACAGAATCGAGACTGAAGGGGAGAAGCAGGAACATACTTCCGCTTGGAAATACACAGTCGACAACGTGTCCTCCCTCGCACAGCCAGAGGAGGAGGAGCGGGAACAGCGTGTGTTCAAGGACGTAAGCAATAGTTTACGTGGAACCATGGCTGGGTGGCTGCTGAGGAAGAGGGCAACCCAGCACCGTCCAGAACACACAGCTGACAGAACAGAAGGCTTTGGCCCTGCCAGTACCACACCAGGGCCGTACTGCAGTGGCCACGCACCGAGTGCTGACTGTGTTCTGTGCCAGGCATACGACACACATTTCACTTAGCTCTCACAACCCTGGGAGGTGAGCATTATGGGCACTTTATAAACCAGGACCCTGAAGGTAAGGACCCGAGTAATAGAGCTTGTAACCTTGAGAGCCAGGTTCGTTCCCAGACTGGCCAACTTCAGAGCCGCTGTGTATCACTTTATTTTAGTTATTTCTTAGCAGGGATGTGTGTGTGTGTGTGTGTGTGTGTGTGTGTGTGTGTGTGTGTGTGTGTGTGTGTGTGTTGAGACTGTCTCACTCTAGCTCAGACTAACTAGGAAGTCCCTCCCTATGTAGCCCAGGCTGGCCTTGAGTTGGCAGCAACTCTCTCGCCTCAGCCTCAATAATGTCGGGGTGGCAGACACAAACCACCACACTGGCCTGCACATCTCTTTAAATGTCAGTATCTGGGATGTTTGCCCTGCCCGATTTTCTTCCGTCCAGAACTAAACCCTGGTCTGGTGTGGGCTGCATTTTGAGGACTGGTTCGCTTTGTTTCCTCAGCTTTATGGCCGTCACAAGGAGTACCTCAGCAGCCTCGTGGGCACAGACTTTGAGACGGTGGGTAGCTCAGCTTCCTGCAGCGCTGGGAGCTTTTAAGCAGTGTTTGACTGTGAGGCACCATAGGACCTCTCTTAGAAGGCTTCGAGATGCACTCTGCAGTGTGGAAAGGAAGTCAGAGGAGCGTTTCATGACCCTGCATACTGATGTGGACCCTTGCATGCATAGAACGGGGTCTGAAGGGGAACACACGCGCTGTGTGGGCCTCTCTCCTGGAGCAGGCTGGGTGGGTGGTGGTGGGTGGGTATTGGGCAGTGAGGAGAATAGATCAAGCATTTGACTTGTTCTCCATGATAAGGTGGTTTTTGGTTTTATCAGTGTTAATGCATTCACATATTAATTTACAATTCGTTTTTTAAAAAACAATATAAAGATAAAAAAGCGTCTTCCTCATCCTTTGTGTGGACATTGTTCCAGAACAACTCAGATGGGGGAAGAGATGCCATTTCTGCTAATCAAGTGTTTTGGATCTTAGAAAATGAAACCAAAACAGTTGAAGTCAGTCACTCTGGAGTCCTGTCTGGGTTTTCCCCTCTCACCAGGGATTCCGTTTCTAGACCTGCAAACAAGGCTAGAGCTCCTCACTGGCTTCTCTCTCTGTCTCTAGAAAGTAACTCATATTTTTTAATATTACATAGGCAACAAATGTGAAAAAAGTTAAGACAGATAACACAAACAATTAAAAAAGAAAACTTGGGGGCTGGAGAGATGGCTCAGAGGTTAAGAGCACTGGCTGCTCTTCCAGAGGTCCTGAGTTCAATTCCCAGCAACCACATGGTTAGCCATCTGTAATGAGATCTGGTGCCCTCTTCTGGTGTGCAGGGATACGTGGAAGCAGAACACTGCATACATAATAAATAAATATAAGAAAGAAAGGAAGGGGCCAGGTGGTGGTGGCACACGCCTTTAATCCCAGTACTCAGAAGGCAGAGGCAGGAGGATCTCTGTGAGTTCGAGGCCAGCCTGGTCTACAGTGCGAGTTCCAGGAAAGGCGCAAAGCTACACAGAGAAACCCTGTCTTGAAAAGCCAAAAAAAAGAAAAAAAATAGAAAGGAAAGAAGAGAGGGAGGAAGGGATGAAGGGATGGAGGGAAGGAGGGAGGGAGGGAGGGAGGGAGGGGGGGGGGGAACCTGGTGGCCTGAAGAGTCCTCCTGTCACTCGGCCTGCCATCTAAGTGATGTCCTGTTACTCCATGAGTCCTGGAACTAGGAACAGGCTCTGTGGAGAAGTGTCAGGGCAGAAGCATGCGCAGTAGTGTGGCCAAGGTTGGGTAGCCAGTGTGAGGTCTTCTGCAGATGTGGGGACAGGGCTGGAGGGGCAGCTTGAGCCCCTCTGGTCCCGACACCTTCCCATTCCCCTCTGCCGTAGACCGCCCCGGGTGCCCTCCGGCTCTTCGTAAATGGAGAGGTAGGTAAGTGTCTTGTCTTGGAGCCAGGCAAGAGTCTGATGGAACTGTGAGTACCTGCTCACCTCTGCTTAGTCTGGGCTGAACGTGGGAAACTGGTGATGAGTCTTTTCTAGAAACTGAGAATTCTGGAAGACTTTATTTGCAGAGCATGTGGGCCCTTCACGACTAGACAGAGTGAGAAGGATAGCGAGAGAACAAGCTAAACTTATCTGTTTTCTCTCTTCAGTTTCAGCCCAAGGCTATGAGTACGACAACCTCTACATCCACTTCTTTGTGGAGCTGCCAGAGACTAGTGAGTGGATGTTCTAGCATTTCTTCTTTTACATCTGTTCTCACAGTTAGTTCTAGGGGCATTCCATCCACTCCCACTGAAACTGCTCAGGGTCATAGGTCACCTCCACACTGCCAGTTCTAAAGTGGCTCTGTTCTTTCACCACACCGACCTTCCTCTCTGACACGGCTCACTTTCCATCATGAAGCATCTGCTCAGCTTCTGGAGTGTTGCCCCTCCTTCTCACTAAGAGCTCGTCAGGCTCTCTGGTGGATTCCTCCTCATCTGATCATCCTAAACTGTGAGCGCGTCCCAGGCTACTCTCTACCTCCGGTCTTCCTAGGCAGTTCCATCCATCCATAGCTCAAATGGCATCTGTGTCTGTTGCCCTGCCCATTGGCACACCAGAGTGTTCGCTCCAGGAGAGACAATCCTGGTCACTCACATATCTTCAAATGTATCAGCATAGAGCGGACTCAGTCAGCGGGAAACGAACAACACACTGTGTAAACGAGCAAGCGAATGAATGAATGAATGAATGAATGTCTAAAAGAACTTTGTCCTCTCTCAGTGACTTCCTGGCCTCTCTAGTGAGCTTATTGTGTCTGGTCTTTGGCTTTCAGACTGGTCAAGCCCATCCTTCCCGCAGTTCTCAGGAGTAACCCAGACCTGTGCCACCAAATCCGTGGGAATGGTATGGAGGATGAGAGGGCGTATCTGGAAGGGGGTGGTGGCTCCAGGTGGCGTTGAAGCTTCCTCAGGCCAACCCGCTGTGTAGTCTGTGGAGGAGCAGAGTTGGGGTGTTTCTGAGTGGGCTCTGCGGGGCTGCCTAGGCCAGGGTCACTCTTGATCTCTTAAGAGGCTGACAGCGCTTGTATTACCTGTCCCTCTGCCTGTCAGCTTCCTACCAGGCTGACAGGTTTTCTCTCCCCTGTGTGAAGGTGACCTTGTCATTGGACACACAGAGAACCAATTCCGAGTGAGAGCTTGTCCGCTCTGTGACACCGAGCTGAAACGACACTCTTCTTTTCCAGGACAAGGTGGCCTATTTCTCCTACCCGTTCACATTCGAAGCCTTCTTTCTCCACGAGGACGAATCGGCTGGTGAGTCTCTGCGGTCCTCGGCCTCACTTCTCCTCTCCCAGGGCCTCTCTTAACAGAGGTCCCCGTGACCTGAGTGCCACCTTGCCTCCTTTCCAGATGCCCGCCCGGAGTGGCCCGTGCTCTACTGTAAGGTCCTGTCACTGGACTTCTGGCAGAGGTACCGTGTGGAAGGCTATGGGGCTGTGGTACTGCCTGCCACCCCAGGTAACCTCTTGTCCCTGCCCTTCCCAATGCCCCCGGCCCTAGCAACAAGACAAGCACTTCCAGAAGACCCCTGTGTTCCCGATGAGAGTAGAGATGATTAGGCCTCGGGGGCTCTGACTTGAAAGATTGCTTGTAGCTTTGCGGATTTTCTTCCCGGCCCTGAGAGACACTGTGAAGCTGGGACCGACCTCCTGAAGTCTAGCAGCCTGACAGGTTGTCCTGGGTCCCAATCCTCCAGTTAGACCACAGCCTTAATAGAGGGGCTGCAGGCAGTGGCCTCTCAGCCTGTGTTCCTCTTGGAGAAGAAGTACAGGCCTGTTGGTGTGCTCCAGGCAGCGTACTAATCTCAAGTCTCCCATCCCCACTGTGAGGTATATGTTGTCCTTGCTTCTACGTTTTACTAGGTCAAAAGAGAAGGAGGCTCTGGGAGGTTGGCAAGCTTGTCTTAAGAACACAGTGATCCCTAGAATAGCTGAGATTAGTTCTGTCTTCCAGGCAGGCACCGTCACCCACCATGATAACCTTCACATAGGTCAGGTCGTCACCAACCCAGGCCATTGCTGGGAAGTCAGCCATGGAACCTGGCCCGTTTCCCCTCTTGCTTGCCCAGGCTCACACACCCTGACCATCTCCACGTGGAGGCCCATGGAGCTGGGCCTTGTGGCAGAGCTAAGGAGGTTCTTCATTGGCGGCTCCCTGGAGCTGGAGGATCCCTCCTACGTGAGGATCCCGGGAACCTTCAAGGTGACCTATCTCTGGAGAGACTTCAGGCTGAGTGTTTCTGTTCCTGTGGGGTCTGGACTGAGGCCCCTCCCCTGATTGTTCATTGCGCCCATGTTATATAGCCCCTTCCCTCCTGTGGATTACGCTGCAGGTCCTGCCCATATTTACAGGTTCAAATATCTACATCAGGAGGGCCTTGGGGAGCAGTGTATTTAGAGATTCCCTGACCCCCAGTAGATAACTGGCCTCTTCCGTCACTGGAGGCCTTGGTAATCAGATGCAAGGTGGGCTTTCAAGAAACCTCTAAACCTGCTCAGTCTCAAACGAGGGTAGAATGTTCCCAGAGTTACAAGAGGGGAGTTACCCTTGTGGTGCTGGGGTCTGACAGAACGAAGTTTCCTCCATAACGCTACACGTCCCAAGACTAGGAATACAAATGGCGGCAGAGCCTCTGGTCTGCAGTGTGCACAGACTGATCCTGTCTCGGCTGTGTGCCCAGGGGGAGCGTCTGAGCCGCTTTGGATTCCGCACTGAGACCACGGGTTCTGTCACCTTCCGTTTGCACTGCCTGCAGCAGTCCAGGTGAGGGACCCTGCCCTGCCCCCCCATGTGCTCCCCCCTGCCCTGCCCCCCTGCCCTGCCCCCCTGCCCTCCCCCCCTCCAGCTCCCCGTCCTGGAGGGTTGGAGTACAGCCTTGACTGCGTGTTGGGCCTCCCTGCAGGGCTTTCATGGAATCGAGCTCCCTCCGGAAACAGATGCGGAGCGTGTTGGACCGCCTGGAAGGGTTCAGCCAGCAGAGCTCCACGCACAATGTGCTAGGTGGGCCCCTCACTCCCCCAGCTGGACCCCCAAGGCCACTGTCTTCTCCACACCGTAGTAGCTGACTAGATGGCAACGTTTCCCTCCCTTACAGAAGCCTTCCGCCGGGCCCGGCGCCGCATGCAGGAGGCCCGGGAGAGCCTCCCCCAGGACCTCGTGAGCCCCTCAGGAACACTGGCCTAGCTCTCTGCAGCCCTGGCCTATGGAACAAGAGACAAGGTGAAGGATGTCCTCATCCAGTGCTCTCTCACGTCGTATTGCTTTTTAGAGACCACATTGGTCTACCAAACTGGATGTTCTAGAAATTTCCAGCTGGCTCCTCTGCGTAGCCTTCACAGGACTTTCTTCCCTGTGGAAGTAAAGCCAGACACTCCGGGGCCCCATGTGACCCCCTCCTCATGTTACGGCTACCAAACATGAGCATCGTAACGAGGCAGACTGTGTAGTCTGAGACTTATTTGGGTAGCCCAGCATTAGCCAGTCCTCAACAGTGTCTTTTCTGCGTTACCACGTAGTCTCAGTGGCAGAGGGCTGGAGCTGTAGCAAACTCCTTTCACAGCCCTGAAAAGTGGAGTTTGGCGGCCAGGAGCGGAGGCCCACGCCTTTAATCCCAGCCCTTGGGAGGCAGACCCGGTGGATCTCTGAGTTCAAGGCCAGCCTGGTCTATACAGTGAGTTCCAGGACAGTCAGAGTGTCATAGTGAGACCTGTCTCAAAAAAACAAACACCAACAAGATGGAGTTTGGCATCATCCAAGGAGGAAGATGCGTGAGAGAGCTCAGTCTCTCCCTTCTTCCAAGGCAAGTGGAGCCAAGAGGCCTCAGCTTCCTGACTGCATCTCCGTCTCCCTCTCTCAGGCAGCTCCATCCTACAGTGTAGGGCTGGCCGAGTGTAGGACACGGCCTAGGGTGGTTCTCTGCCCTTCCTGCTAGCTGGGTAGGGGCTTTTATTGTGTGTCTGTTTTTCATATAAAAAGTATTTATATTGACTGATCTGTGGGCTGTCGCTCTTTCTACTCTCTGCCTTTCTCCTCTCCACAGAAGAGAGCATGTGGTGAGTCCCAGGCTGCATCTCAGTAGGCCCCCATCTCCGATGGTATGTGGGGCAAAGCTTTAACCAAGGCCACGCTCTCCCCAGCCCAACACAGAGACAGCAGGCCCTGCCCTCAACATTCTTTTATTGCTACAAGTAGGGAGTGCGGCCCTTCGTGCAGGCCCAGGGGAAGGCTGTGGCATGGCGAAGAGCCGGGACCATGTGGTCTTCCAGTCATGCTGTGGGACGGGGCAGGAAAATGCTGGAAACGCTCCCACAGTCTTGCTAGAGCCTCAAAGCCTCATGGCTTGACTCATAGGCTCTCATACCTGGTGCTGATTCATAACCTACTATCTAAGGGTTGCCACTGCCTCCTTGGCACTCTCAACCAATGAAGCCAGCTCTGAGCTATAGCCCGCAAAAGCTCCAGCAGGAAATGGTTTTGGAGGAGAAAGCAGCATCATGATCTCCCCCTTACCCTCTCTCCAAGATGTCAGGGCTTGGCATAATCCTGTGGGAATAACAGAAATAAGTGAGTGGAGGTTTGTTGGATATCCAGACAAAGAGCTATTTTAGTACATTAGTAGCAAAACTGAGGACAGTTAAATACTTCTAGTTGTCCCTGTCCCCCCTACAAAGTCTTAGACCCCAGAACTGACTATCAGCCTAGAAGCTAGCATTCTTGGAAAGCATCAGGAAAGAGTACGATGTTCCTAGTGACAAGTTCTATTGCCTCTGCTTAGCGGATGGATGTCTTGTATCAGGGAGAGATGCGAGGGCCTGACCATTCCAGATCTCCCCTTACCTGCTGAAGCCTCATTTGCCGCGCCAGGCTGACAGGTTCAACTTGGGAATACGTTGACAGCTCACAAAACCCCTTGGGTAGATGTTAGCCGCGAAGATGTTCTTCGAAACAGTGGTGATCCCAGTATTGTCACATATAATCCGAGATAAAGAAACCTGGCTCAGGGCTTTGCGCTGTCTTTTGGTGAAAACTCCCCACTTCTGCCACCAGAACCTGTAGGTCAAGAGACGCGTGAGAAAGCTGGGGAGTCGCTGTGCAGTGAGCGCCTTTCACGTGCCCGGCACGTTCTGTTTCATTCCTTTCACACAGTGCTGCCAGTTTCCGCCCAGTGAACTGCCCAGAAGTAAGGCGATAGCAATCTAGGTAGCCAGGGGAGGATTCGAACCCAAGCATACACCACATCCAAATAAGGAGTCGGGTCCAGATTTAGTTCTTTGCCCATGCCTTCTGGGATCTACTAACCCAGAGCAGTGAGCTGGCTAGTCTCGGTTCTGGCCTTAGGAGGCTCCAGCTCAGGCTGGGTCAGCCTTGCCTCCTTCTTTTCCTCAGACCTTCTTTCCATGGGGAAGCCCCCTGGTCTCAGGTCCTATGACCTTGGGAGAAATGAAGCTTTTTTTCATTTTTAATTTAATGATTTACTTTTATTTTATGTGCATTGGTGTTCTGCCTGCATGTCTGTGTAAGGGTGTCAGACCCTCTGAAACTGGAACTACAGACAATTGTGAGCTGCCCTGTGGGTGCTGGGAATTGAGCCAGGGTCCCCTGGAAGAGCAGCAGCCTGTGCTCTTAACCACTGAGCCATCTCTCCAGCCCCAAGAAATGAAGCTTTCAAAGGTGCTGTCTCCCTTGTTCAGTTACACAGTGCTGTGTCTTTCT